TCTGCATAGTCTCAACAGGTCACACAGATTAATTGAATATCTCTGATATGTTTATTGAAAAATGTGACCGTGTTTATTAGATGGCTTCAAATTACATGCCATGAAATTTTTCAATAAACATATCTAATAGATATTGAATTAATCTGTGTGTGTGCCGGTGACCTGTTGAGACTATTCTGAACTTTGCACTGCGCCATTTGTGTGATCACCAGAGCACCACCACCATTGGAAGGTTGCAGACCGTAAGGATTGCGGGTGGTTCTTGGAAACATAGAAAACAAAAGGGAACAGAGCGCCACCTCCGTGTGTAAAATAGTTTATTAGGATAAATAAAACAAGGGATAAATGTACTCGCAAGCAAACGTTTTCATCAGGCTTTAACAACAAACAAGAGGCCACACTGTCTGGTAACCCAACATGGTATCACCCCAACTATGTAACACTGTAGCCTCCGGTCACATCACCGGCCGCAGTCAGCCAAGATTGACCCGTTTCTGGGGCAAGCCCCCTTCATCGGAATCATTGAGCCAAGATTGACTCAGTTTATTCTGATGAAGGGGGCTTGCCCCAGAAACGCGTCAATCTTGGCTGACTGCGGCTGGTGGATGGTGATGTGACCGGAGGCTACCGTGTTACATAGTCGGGGTGATACCATGTTGGGTTACCAGACAGTGTGGCCTCTGGTTTGTTGTTAAAGCCTGATGAAAACGTTTGCTTGTGAGTACATTTATCCCTTGTTTTAGTTATCCTAATAAACTATTTTACACACTGAGGTAGCGCTCTGTTTCCTTTTGTTTTCTATGTTCGTGGTGGAAGCCCCAGAGCCTTGGATGAGCAGCCCCCTAAGTCTGTGTGATAAACTGTTGATAACTTTGAGTCTGCAACAGCAAGTGGATCATCCAGCCGGCAGCCATTAGCGCCAAGAGTTAAAGGAAACTTTTGGTTCTTGGAAACAGTTGCACCTTTTTTTCTGCAGTCTTCTAGAAGGTCCAATGACAGCGGTGCTCATGTAATGAAGTGAGCGCTGGTCAGTCCTGGAGTACTGTCAGTCGAGGCAGTGTGATGTTCCTACACTCCGACAGGAGGTTATTAATTCTACAATGTAAGGACGCAACACAAATGGATGCTTTAGTAGCAAAATATTCTTGGTGACATATTCTTGTGTTCATTTATAGACTGTATGCATGTGAAGACTGAACATATCTCAGGGGACGAAGCGGAGAAAGAGACGAGTCTGAGCGATCCAGCGCCGTATGATGATGATGATTCTTCAGGTTAGTAGTAAAGCAAAGATACACTAATAATAATAAACTAATCACAGCAATAACACAAACCCGGTTATTTCCTCTTCTAGGAGGAGTTAGAGCTATTGACGGGTATTTCTAGGTTTCTACAAGACCTGGTGCACCTAGACTAAAATGTTAGAGTCTGTGGTGTACCATGATGTACCATGATAAAAAAAAAGTGGGTGAAGTGGTTTCTCCATCCATATGACTCAACATAAAAATCAAATGTTTGATATTGCTTAAAAAATATATATAATTCAAAAGTTAAAGGATAAGTTCACCTTTTGCAAAAGTTAAAGAAATGCATATTTAGTAATATTAAAAAAATGCATTTCTTTCATTTTTGCATTCAAGCCTGGAAAACATTGCAACTGTTATTCACTCGATCAGGGCTGCATAGCTCAGACTTCTTCACATTCTCTCCCAGGCAGAGCTCCATAGTGAGGTATAGAGTTTCAGTTAGAGATGGGGGAAGGACGGCTGGACTTCAAACTGAATTGAAACCCCTCATACAGCGTCCAGCTGTCCTCCCTCTAGGTAGACGCGGGAATAGGTACAGCTCTACCACATCTAACCAGAGGGAGAACGGCTGGATGCTGCATGAGGGGATTTAATGCAGTTTAAAGCCCAGCTGTCCTTCCCCCACCTCTCCTAACTGAAACTCTGTACCTCAGTACGGAGCTCTGCCTGTATGGAAATGTGATGAAGCGTGAGCTCTGCAGCCCTGATCGAGCAATCACAGCTGCAATGCTTTTCAGGCTTGAATGCAAAAATGAAAGAAATGGATTTGTTTTTTAATATTATCCAATATGCATTTCTTTAATTTTTGCAAAAGGTGAACTTAGCCTTTTAATAAAGAAAATGTTCCAAAAGTGTAATGCTAATATTGTTTAAAGAAAAAGTATACATCATGAGGTTCAGGTAAAGAAACCAAGTAATTAAAAAGCCAGCTTCTATAATTATCTACCCAACATGATATTAAAAGAGTTGTGAGAGCAAAATGCAGTTACAAGTGGTAATAGTAGAAATGGATGACCACAATGAAAGGATCATGGCAGAGAACACCTAGGGTCCCCAATAAAAGACCTGGGGCACCCAATAGAAGACACGGTGTATGTGCCTGCATGCTAGGGTCTAGCAATGACCCTAAATATGGAGAATTTGTTTTATTAAAAAAAAAAAAAAGCAGAAGTGGGTCTAAAGCTCTGTATGTTGATACTAACAATGCAGCACTGAGTCTAGAGATTAGGTTGTGGTTAGGGCTTACTCATACTAGATGTGGTGGAAGCTGCATGAGATAAAGTGAACGCGTGCCCTTGTACTGTCTAGCATAATTAATTTGGACATACATTAGTAATTTGTTTGTCTACTCCCATCAGAGTTGTTTAAAATCTTTCACTTGTTATTTAATTAAAAATATTTCTATAATTATCTAATTTGTGTTTTTATTTACATTATCTTCATTATTTAGGAACAGATACCTTATCTAGATCCCTTTTTGTCCTCCTGACAATGTTTTACCAGGCAGGAAGTAAGGGGAACTCTCCTACACCAGAATAAACATGCTTTTACTTAGTAGAGATGTGGACGTTCAGAACCCCTTTTTCTTTCTGTGCCCCAGATGAAACTATTGTCAATGGGACAGGAAGTGAGAGTGGATGTCTCTAACGCAGCACCGGATAGCATTGAAAACCCTACAGGGTTCTGGTCCTTCCCCACTCTATCCAAAACTAGAAAAGTTTTTGGCTTGACATACAATTTAACAGTTTTAATGTCTTAAACTTTTCACATTTTATTTGTTTTACACAATGTAATGCACTGTGACAGCTGCAGCCTGCGGGGTCCAGCTGTCACTGGGCCTCTTTCTGTGCAAGGCACAGTGACAGTCAGAGCCTGAAGGTTTCTTTTGTAAATCATTTACATCCTTGGTTCTCAACTGGTGGGTCGTGACCCAAAAGTGGGTCGCAACCCAGTGTTTAGTGGGTCTCCATATACCTTCCACTGTGCTAGGTGAGAGACTCCTCAACCTCCCCCCTACAGCAGCACTGTCAGTTCTCGCACCGAGCAGCCATTCAAAATATGCTGCCCGGCACAGAGTGTCGGCTTGAGGTGGGATGGGGCTATGGCCGCGAGGGAGCGCCATCCATACGTGCATTTCTTACAGCGCCCTCGCGTGTCCTGTAGAGGTGCCTGGACTGGAGTGGAGTGGCGTCAAATTCAGGCTCCTAGCACCTTTTACAGGGCATGCAAGGGAGCTGTAAGAAAGCACATATGGATGGAGCTCCGTCACTGCACAGCAGCTCACACTGGACCCCAGGATGATGATCCACTGTACCATACAATCGCAGCTACTAGGCGTTGTGGTGCGGGAGGTGCGTTGCATTGCCATTCCTTTTGAATGGCACCTGAAACGCACTTCCTGCCCCGGTAGTGTGGTACTGCAATGTTATGTGTTCCAGTGCTGTGCGACTTGGGTCACGACTTAATGACCGAGGACAAATGTGGGTCCTGAGGTTACACAGGTTGAGAACCACTGATTTACATGGTATCACCATGATTTGCGGTTCTGGTTGTCACATAATCCCTGATTGTTGGTAAAAAATCCAGAGCAGTAGACTGCATAGTCTTAGAACTAGAACCATGCCCACTAGTAGCACAATGGAATGAAGATTATCCTTCTCATATAACCGAGTACCATGCCTGAGAACAATATGCTACAGATTGCTGTAAAGAACAACCTTTTGGTTTATTTGTAGATTGTATGTATGTGGAGCCTGGCAGTCTGCCCGAAACAGAAGTGAAAAAGGAACCTGGGATGAGACATCCTGTGAACTATGATGATGAGGAGGATGATTATGATGATGATGAGGATGATTATGATGATGATGATGATGATGATGAAGACGACTCTTCAGGTATAATTTTGTACTACTACTAGCTGTAGTTATATCATGTACTGTTTACACCAGAAACTGAAGGTGTATTTGCATGTTAAAAAAATGAAGAAAGTGAAAAGTAAGTTGTTAACAGAAGGTGTAAAACATAATTATACTTCCGTATAGATTTTAAAGAAACAGGTAGTTAGGAATGTTTTGCTACAGAAGAGACCTAGTCTGTTCTGCTATAAAAAGCCAGCGTGCTTGCAAATTTCCCTTGGGGAGAAAAGGGGATCAAGTGGCTCTTTAATCTTCTTATAGTTTCCTTTCCTGATCTCTCTCCCCCCCCCCATCAACATAATGACATTTTTAAATAAAACCTTTCCATTTTCATGACATACTTTATTTGTAGACCCAGTGATGTCATAACTGGGTCTCTCTGCTTCTCTATGCAATGCAGACAGTTAATTGGCTGGTTCTGTGCATAACTTCCTGGCAAAACATCACAGCACCCTTCCTCGATGCTGCTCTCTACAGCCCTCAGGCCTGATACAAGCAGTGGGCCCCTGTTGAAAGTCATCATGCAAACCTCAAAATGTCTTGATGGGTGGATGTCAGTCTGGAGGAGTGGGTGTTCTAGCAGGATGTATTTGCATGCAGACCATTCTAGGTAACACTAGCATGTGTTGCTGAGCCTCCATGATTGATAGAGCTGAAATCCAATGAAAAAGGGATCTGGTCAGGGACAGGTATAGTGGGGAGGAAATGGATGGATGATACTGGATGTTTTACAACCAGGAAATGAGACTCTATTTGAATTGCTGCAGTTTTAACACACATGGTGAGAAGCTCACAGTGTGCAGTGAAATCAGAGGAAGCAATTTCCTTCCAGGAGAGGAGACGCTGCAACTGTGCAAGACTGAAGGGAAGGCCGGAGTTCAGATTTAAGGCAGGGTGCAGAGAGGACAATCTCTAAATATGATGTTACTCTGGTTCCAGTGGACAATCAGTTTTAGGGATAATGTTTGTCTGGTTCCTGAGTATTTCTTTATTCTCAGACTGATCTACTTGTAATAAATAGTATTCATGGTGAACATTCTTTCTTCTTATGAAGACTGTTTCTGTGTGGATCCGGAGCCTATACACAAGACTGACTGGAAGGCAAATGTGAAAATTAAACAAGAATTCAAAGAAGAGAAGATTTATCTGGGTGAGTATGAATTCAGAGATGTATTTATCTTGTAAATAATAATGACTATTAGGCTCTTGTATTTGTTGCTTTAGGAGACGGTCGCGTTACTGTGAATTTAGTTCGTTATTTTTAAGTTGCTCTTTCTCAGTTGTTGGCAGGTTTTGAACTTTATTGGGTTTGTATTCCTGTCCATGAAGAGAATACTAAATGCTGAATATATTTAAAAATAACCAGAGTGGACCACTTTATGTAACCAAACAATACATTATAAATGTATTTATTGAGTTTATTGCATTTTAAAGGATCATTAAAATGATTCTGTCTCTCCAGTGCACCATACATTTCTTATTGACCCTTCACTATAATCAGCTGGCCACTGCTGGCAGACATTTTTCAATGCTAATGGAAAGTTCCAAGGTTTTGCCTAATCAGAGCCACCCGGCACTTGTGCACAGTTGGTCACTCGAAGGTACTTCGGGGTATGTGCTGTCTGCAGTTTCTGGTTATTGGTGCTGCCATTTTAGATGTGATGTCAGCAGCCCCAACAGGCTCAGACCTAAGTGACACTTTATAGTATTCCCCTTTATACCTTTTCTGGCTACTACATAAAAGGTTGTGTAGGGAGTAACCAGCCCAGACAGTAATTAGACACCCCCAGAAGAGGAGAGGGCTATGACATGCAAGGAGAGAGGGGCTGTGCTAGGGAGTTGACTCTTCTGGACTAGTTTACATTTTCTAACAAGTTTGGAAGTGAATAAAACATATTTTATGGAAAGGAAAACACTGCATTTAATAATTGCAGGTAAAAGCACAGAAATGTAAGTGACAGGGTCTCTTTAAGCCTGCTTGTTCCTGTACCAATAGAATGTAGTATCTATAGAGGGGAGCATCAACATAAGACTGTTAGGTAAGACACTGAACTCTGTGTTTTCAGTAACATGGGGATACAGCTCATGCGCTAGCCCTTTTGGCCAAGACCAGAGCAGTTTTTTTTTATGCAAGGCCGCAATATCTAGCTGTTGTATACCACTCTAAGGATGATGGGTGCAAGTCCCCTGGCCTGCCCTGAAGTCTAGTGGGAGGATTATTTTCCTTCCTCCCCTGACCCGGGCTCTCTCTTTGAGCGAACTCCAAATCTAGTAGTCTGTGGTCGGCTTTAGCTGACCATGAGAGGAGTGGTCCACCTGGCTTTGACTAGGTGGACCAGAGTGCTTTGCCCTTGTCTGGTTTTTTTCTGCCCTGGAAGGTTGGGGGGGGGAGACGGACCAATTTGACACACCCAGTGCACCTTTTTGTGTGTGTTCGCCTGAACTTTTTTGGGTTCACTTGGTGTTTCGTTTTTGCACACCCATTGCAGGCTTCATAAAATATATATATATATATATGACCCTTGTGGAGTTAGTGTGGTACTGAGTCGTGGTTTATTACAGGTTATGGATGTTGTTAATAATGTTTGTGGAGACAATATTACTTTTACTGTAAGTGTGTACTGATGGGGGAAAACAATGTATGTTCTCATCCACAGAGGATGGGAAGAAAACAAATGGCAACAATACCCAACCCATGACTGTTGGAGATCCTGCTGAAATTGGTAAGTGAAGACTTTACAGTCCTAAAATATCAAAGTTTTTCATTTTAAACATACAGCATTTGTCATTCTGTTGGCCTTCATGTGTACAGAACAGTAGTGATGTAGTGGCCAGTGAATGGAACCACAAGGCACGGAGGGGGACAGGCGGGCATCTGACACATTAAGAAGTGTGTTGGTTGTAAGGTTTTTCAGGTTGCTTTGCTTTGCAAGGGAATGAAGCTTTCAAGAACTGTCAGTGGGACAAGTAAGTATAAATGGTCTTTTATAGGTTCAATGAAAACTGCAGATTTAAAAATGTACTTTTGAAGAAGAACGCCAGGAAATGTATGAACCTTGCAGTGGGGCTACCTGTGCACTGCAAGGGTTAATTGCTCATTTTGTGTCTGGGTTAAACAAAAAACAAAGTTATGTTCACCCAAAGTCCCGAGCCAGCTTCTTCTTAAACCGGCCCTTCCAAAACTCTCCCCCTCCTCTGAAACGGTCTAAGGCCTTGTAAATTATCAATGTCTATACACTGTGCATAGACGTCAGGATGCTAAGGAATATTATAATGTGGAGGAGGAGACAGGCTGGAAGGAGCGCTATGACACCTAGCTGTCTCAGAGCTTCGGGTGAGTATATCTTTTGTTATTTTTAGAACTAAGACACAAATGGTTTATATGAAGCTGTCCTCCATAGATTTGTGTATATGTGTGTGTGGGTCACACCTGTCCAGTAGCTTCTTATACGGTTCTAGCAAGAGATGCTCTGGAGATCACCTCATGAAACACTAGTGGAAGCTGCTGTGCAGATGTGGGTGTGATTGCGAGGCGAGTATGCATCTGAGGAAGAAAGGTTAGGTCCGCGGAGTGGGTGAGGGGTAAAAAGGATAAGTGCATTTTGTTTGGAAGTGCACTTCCCCTATAAACTGTACATAAACTTAAAAAGTAAAAGATTTGCAATGTTATATGGAACATCTAGAATGGTTAATTGTGCCAAAGCACTTCCCTATAATATGCATCTTGGCTGGAATTCCTCTTTAATAATAGCAGTGCACTTCCCAGTATGTGAGTGTGCTTGGGCCTTCCTGTTCTGTTGCCCCATACCGGTATATCTGCAGTGTGAGGCCACAGGCACTGCTGCCTCTGATTGCTAATCTCAGGAGATTTGATGTGAGATTTGGAGATGTCAGTATTGTGCTGCTCACTGTTCTCCTAGCCGGAGGCTATTAAATGAAGAAGCAAAGCTCGGCTCCCCCTTTAGCAAGATGGACACACACACACACACCAACCATGTAAATGCCTACTAAAAATACATTTGACTAACTTGTTTCTTTTGTTCTGCAGAATGGATAGTAGAAGATGTGGTCACCCCAGTGCCCCAACAAGACCCATCCAGAAAGGCAGAGGTAAACTACTGGTTTGTGAAGAGGGTGGCAACAAACAACCCCAATGACAGGTCCTCCCATTCTTCTCATATTCAGGATCAACAAGACCATAAAACTTCCGTTCAGCCCTTGTGCCCAAACCCATCCATAAAAAAGCACTGTAAAAGGCAAATAACTCCTAGAGATTTGCGCTTCATTTGCCCTGTGTGTCCAGAAACATTTGAGGGTGTCTCAGATTTCTTTGAGCATCAGAAAGTCCACGAGAATGTGTGTCCAGAGTGTGGGGAACAGTTTTCTAATAGGTCGGCTCTCGAGGCGCATCTGTTGCTGCACCTGGAAGACAAGATACGCATATGTGAGGAGTGTGGTCAGTGTTTTGGCACGCAGGCTGAGTTGGAGAGCCATCTGAGAACCCACAAAGGAGATAAGCAGTGGTTGTGCAATCAATGCGGCAAATGCCTCTACTCCAAGTCTGGTCTTGACAGGCACCAACTCATCCATATAAGAGATCGACTTGTTCCTTGTCCGCAGTGTGGCAAATGCTTTGCGAAGCAGTCGAACTTCGAAATGCACTTGCGTCTCCACGCTGGCGAAGAGCTCTACCCGTGTACGTTGTGCGAAAAACTCTTCCCTACAAAGTCCGCCTGCGAAAGGCACATCAGGGCCCATACCATGGAGCGTCCACATGCCTGCCCACAGTGTGGCAAGAGGTTCCTGTACAACGGCTGCCTGATTAAACACATGCGTGTTCACACAGGGGAAAAACCGTTTGTCTGCGATTTATGTGGGAGGCGGTTTGCCCAAAGCTCAAGTCTCAACAGCCACCGAAGGCTTCATGAGGACGAAAAGCCATTCGTTTGTAGAGAGTGTCAGAAGTGCTTCAGCAAAAAATTCAATTATGATATGCACATGAAAATTCACGCCAAGGAGAGACTGATTGAGCAATTGGCTCGACTGAAATGTGACAGTGGCGATAAGATGGCGGCTCCTTCTGGAGAGGCAGAAAATGATAAACCTGTTAACAATGGCCCATTTAATGAGAGGACTGCTTTGGACATCAGACTGCCAGATCTTGGTGTGTCAGCAAGGTGTGACCGCACTAGTAGGGATGTTGGCAAGGCCCCAGTTTTAGACCTCTTGCTTGATGATAGGCCCCCCAGAGACGTCATGTTCGCCGAGGCACCAGGTAATGGCGTCTCATTTAATAACTCTACTAAAGATGTCTCAGTTAATGATAAGTCTTTAGAAGATGTTACTGGAGCGCCACCCATTAAAGAGGCCTCGCTTAGTGGAAGCTCCATGACGAATGTCTTGTTAGGCAACACACCAGATAAAGACATTTTACGAAGTGATGAGTCCATGAAATATGTCTCACCTAGTGACAGTCTCAGAATTGGTGCCTCTTTTAATGAAAGCCAATGTATAGATATCTCTCTTAGTGATTCATCCATCTCAGACGAATCATTTGGCGAGATGTTCGACGATGACGACCCCTTAAACGAGGTGCCTTGGAAATCAAACCCGGAGGAACGTCAGCACATCTGTCCCGAGTGTGGGAAGAGCTTCCCCTACAATGGCTGCCTGGTTAAGCACCTGCGAACCCACACCGGAGAGAAGCCTTTCCCCTGCCCGGAGTGTGGAAAACGTTTTGCACAGAAGTCAACGCTGAACTGCCACATTAGGACTCACACAGGTGAACGGCCCTTTCTGTGCCCTCTGTGTGGCAAAGGCTTCACCAGCCAGTCCCACGTAGCCCGCCACCAGGTGGTTCACCGGTCAGACCAGATGTTCTCATGTAACGGGTGTGGGAAAGAGTTTTCAGTGAGGTCTTATTTGTTAAAACATCAGAAGAGGAATAACTGTGTACGAAAACTCTGACTTTTACCTTTTTGAAATATAAATAGTTTACTTTTATTAATATGTGTTTTCTGTATTTCTTTAATAACGAGCCATTTTCAAAATGTTTATTTCTTTATGCACGGGCACATCCTGTTTCCTCTTTTCAATTGCTTAGTGATTAAGGTGTAACATTTTTATGTGCTTCAGATTACAACGTATGACCCTCACTGTACCCATTTCCTTCCCAGTGTTGCTTCCTGCATGTGAGTGGGTAGGCAGATAGAGCTGAACAGCATCAACTTTGCCATCGTTCTCAAGAATTAAACCTAAAATTACCTTGCTAGGCATCAGATTAGGTCTCATTCAAATGGCAAATTATTCACTTTTCTTTAGAAAAGGGTCAAAGAAATGGATGTAGTGTCTATATCAATAGATTAGTCCCACCTCTATATTTTGTCTTTGTACTTTTTTGTTGTTGTTATTTATCTACTATTTTTCTTCATTCTCCTATCTCCTGAGCAATCTGAACTTAAAAAGAGACCTGATCTTCATAGTACAAAATGGCTGCTGGATCATTACTTACACAGGGAAGAGGACGCTCTCCCCGCCCCCATGTGATAGTGATGGCCAATTATCAATCACCAATGCTGATACTTTGGAGGAAAGGAAGTGAGTCGCAGTGGTGATCTACAATTCTCTATTTTTAAACCAATAATAACAAAATGAAAGAGAAAGTTTGAGAGTACGTTCACACCAGCAGCCACGCTCCACAACAACGATTGAGTGAGTGGCATCGCACTTTCTTTTTTTCTTTTGTAGAATTTTTATTGAAATGTCACAAGTCGCCTGCGTAAAAGATTCTTCCCTTCTCATTCTCTCACAGGAAGAAAGTGAAATATGTGAGTAGAGCTCCAATAATCATTTAATAAGAAAATACTTTTTAGACTAGTTTAACCTGACCCTGAAAATGAGCTCCTAAAAGGGTTCTGTCAGAGTAAAGTAACTGTGTCTCCTGATGGCCAATTAACTACCCATACTGTAGCAGAGTATAAATGCCAATCCGCACTCACTTAGTGACTCCTCATTGCAGGAATCCATGTTGGGTAAAGCTCCAGTATTGGCGCTTACCTGGGTGGATGACATCTTTGCCCACCTAAGTGACAGTGTTTGGGCCCCGTGATTGGCTGCTCACATGGGGGTGGTCACATGTTTCTGCATACCCAGAATTGTACAGAAAATACACAGCCACGCCAAATTGAAAAATACACAGGAGCCTTTGGAGAGTAACAAGGCTCGCTCACTGCAGTGTTATCTATTTTATGCCTAAATCTGTACATTTTTCAGAATTCCACAACAGAAGAGATCTAAGATGCTGATGGTGGTATTTTCCAACATAACTGATTTTGGGTCTGATATGAGGAGTTCAGAAGGAAGCATTTGTTTTCATAGTTACATAGTTACATAGTATTTGAGGTTGAATAAAGACATTAGTCCATCAAAATAGAGTTTTTATATGGCACATTTTCATAAACTACTTTTTAGAATCCAGTAACTATAAAAATGGCTGCTAACAGTGGACATTAAAGAGACCTGTCAGTTTTCCAAATAAATGCAAATGACACTTCCCCTGTAACAGAAGAGGTAATATACTCACCTCTCTGGTTGCCGTAGTCATAGTAGGTTCCTCCAACATTTGTTGGAGAACCATGAACCATGCCCTTCTCGGCCACAAACCGGCTGATAGGATGACTGTGCTGTTCAATCTGATCATCTGTACTATTTTGCCTAGAAGAGCTGCTTGGGGGAAAGTAGAAGCCAGATGAAATCCCCACTTGTGAGGTAGTGTATCCAGTCTGAGTAGACTCCCCTGTAGACTCAGTGAAAAGAACATTTCTAGCATCTTGTTTTGCATGCTGTGGTGAACAAGTCTGTCTGAGGAAGGCCCTAGCATCTGACTAGGTGCTGAAAAATCTATGTAGTTCTCTGAGCCCTTAATGTGAAATTGTGTCAGGGATTCCAGGTTTTCTTCGGCCCATTGAGGGATAGGATCCGCAATTCTTCAGGCACTAGGATTTGGTGCCTCCTTGATGATTCAGGTATGCGACTGCTGTAATGTTTTCCGAGAGACTCTGAACATGTTTTCCCGTGGAAATTTGTTTTGAAAGTGAAAGGGTCTGCCCTACTGCTTGGAGCTCCCTTGTCAGTGCAGAAAACTGGGGCATCTATTTGTGTTTAGCAATATCTACTTCCCCATCCTGAGGTGCTGGCATTTATGGTAATTCCTACATGCCCCAGGTAGCGCCAGTGGAGGCCCTGAGTCATATGTTCCTTCCTGATCCACTATATCAGGGAATCTTTCATTGAATTTGTTATATGAAAGGTCAGTCCAAGTCCTCATTGTAACTTTTCAAATATCTCTGTATTAACCACTAAAGGGTCTTGCGTGCATCTGCATGCCACCCCTGGAATGGCTGCTGTCATATTATGCAGGATAGATGAGAACATTCCTTGTCACTTCCTCCCTTGTGGGTGTGAACAGTGGAGAGTCATCCAGATAGGGTGTGATCCTTATCACCTGGGTTATCAGGATTACCATGATTTTCGAAAAGGGGATGGGGGGAGACGGTCTAAGTGAGCTTGAACTTGTATCTCTGCTTGGACACATTTAGAATAAACTGGCTGGGGCTCCACTCTGTCCTATTGGGGGAAGAAAGCCCCTCATCTCGGCTTGAGGCTGAAGAGGAGCTTTCCAGTCAAGGGAAAGCCATAAACTCTGCTTTTGGAGGTAGTATCTCCTGACCAGGTCTTTCCTGGTTTCCATACTGCACACCATATGTGCTATGGCCTTTGTGCTAAAATATCATTCTTATGGTTTCTGCAGAGGTGTTTGGAGAGACTCCATCACATCTATGCCTGCTGATGTCTGAAACAGATGAGTTTGAAATTGTTCTATCCAGAAGTCTAAGTTGCAGACAAAGCATGTATTGGCTAGGCTATGTTTGAGCAGTGAGCCCCTTTTCTTTCCAGGCCATCCTAACGGGGGCTCCACCTTTCTATCTATGGGAGCAGTCAGCTGGGCCATATCTATCAAGGATAGATCGGATTTCTTTGAAACTTTTTAACTAATGAAGCATCAAGTTTCAGGCATTGAGCAGTGCGGCATCCACACAAGACTGAAGATGACCTGGCTGACACCCAGAGTCCAGTCCCTCAAGATGGCATAAGCCACACTGGGGCAGAATGGTGCCTGCTCCAATGAACAGCCTCTGCCTGTGCCTCACGGAGTATCAGGAGAACCCAGCCAGGTAAGTGGTATTAGAGGTAACGGAAAGTATGGCATATGTGACCCCAGCCAAACGTCCTCTAGGGCCCATCTGCCACAGGACCCACTGGCCTGCCTTCTAGACCAGGACTACTGAGGGAGAGGTATCTGACACCTGCAGTTGACCCTAGAAAACAAAAACTGGACTGGTGTGTATCCATGTAGATGGGAGATGCAAGAACTTTGGTTGCTGGCTCCTGGGAGTCCTTTTAAACTTTCAAGTCAAGTATTTCCTACAGGTGGGCGGAGTCATTTTTCCAGTTGACTGTCCTGTAGGATAAATTAGGGAAAAATTACTTGACGTGATCCTTAATGCACAGGCTATACCTAGCTGGTAATATTTATAAGTCATAACGCTGTTGATCCATCGAATATCCAAATGCCTTAGGAAATCAGAAAGGATTTTTGTCCTTGTTGGAGCAAATTGGACCATGCTTTATATGGATTTTTTACCCATCCTTTGGATCAACTGAGAGTTTACAGTTCTGTGTATACAGGTAGGGCTGCAACAACTAATTGATTATGAGAATAGTTGGCAACTATTCTCATTATCGATAAGTTGAGAGGGCGGGAAAGCGAGAGAGGTTGTTTTTTTTGGGGGGGGGGTTTTAATGCAACTCATCGATTATTTGAAAAAAATAATCGGCAACTAATCAATTACGAAATGAATCGTTAGCTGCAGCCCTATATGCAAGTTTACAATGTAATGATTCATTCATTTTTCTATGAGTTGACTCTTTATTTTTTTCTTACAAAATTTTTATTGGATTTTAAGTTGCAAATAAACAAACAAAACATAGAGAACAGAAGCGAGCTGACGCAGCAGTGAAAGTACAGCACAAGTGAACATGCAAACTGAATCCTATAGTTACAGCAGTAAGGTAAAAAAACAAAAGTGCATAAGAATAAAAAGATAGAAATTAGTCCATTCCGTAACAAAATCCAGATTATTCCTGATATAATCAACAGGAATCTGTGCGGGTGAGCAGCATAGCCACTGTCAGCAATTCAAATAAAGTGGCAATTGCTAACGTAACAAAAATCTGAGAAATAGCTGAAGGGTCTACCTCTCGATTACAGTGAGAGGAGTTGGAAACTATGTACAAAACAGAGGCAGCAGAGTAAGGAAGGAGCCTGGGAGGGGAGGAAAAAAGGGAGGAGGGAATTAGTAAAAGAAGGAATAAAATGAGCATAAAGGTGCCCATACACTGCACGATTCTCGTACGATAATCGCGGGACATCCCGCGATCGTACGATAATCGTGCAGTGTATGGAAGGCGTGTGACCGTTTCTACTGTACGGTCGCACGTCTTCCGTCGAACCAGCAGGCCACTAACTCGCCGAGAATCGTACGATTCTCGGCGAGTTAGTGGCCTGCTGGTTCGACAACTGCCGAACGGGCCGGTGTGCGCACGCGCACACAGCCCGTTTGCAGTCATCGTAAGCCCGCCCCTCAGGGGGGCGGGCTTGCGATGATCGAGAGTACGATCTGCCTGTCCAAGATGGGCAGATTGTACGTTTTTTTTTTAATCACTTTACAACCATCGCAAGACTAAGGTCTTGCGATGGTTGTACAGTGTATGGCCACCTTAAGAAATAAAGGAGAAAGAGGGGCGCGATTAAGTAAATAAAGCTAAGGTATAAGACTGCGGTTGGATGCCTCTGGTTCGGGCAAAAAAGAGGGCTTGGTTCATAGTATATTTAAAGACTCTTCAAATCAGAATGGGCCGGCCTAGGCAATCCATGGTCTCCCAGATTTTCTGAAAATTATTGTAGGAGTCAGCAAGAATTGCAGACAGACTTTCATTTATCATAGTACCAGTAATTCTGTCCTTCACCTCTCCAAAGCTGCTTTTCTCTTCTTTTTTTCAACCTAACTATGTAACTGTGATATATACACAACAGGTAGGTATGGGTCAGGTAGGTGCTGGAACCCCTCCAAACACCTGCCTTCTGCTTCTCTCTCAATAGTGAATGTCACTTTATACAAACATTCCCTGGTGCTAAATCAATCTCTGGCATTTAAAACTAAGGGTGCCCACACACCTTACGATAATCGCGGGAAATCCCGTGATCGTACGATTATCGTAAGGTGTGTGGAAGCCGTGCGACCTCTACTACTGTAAGGTCGCACTACTTTAAACTTACGGACATGTTCGAAAACCCGCCGAGCATCGTACGATGTTCGGCGGGTTTGTGGCATGTCCGTACAATAACAGCCGTACGGGCCGGTGTGCCCGTTCGGCATTGCGGTCATTGGAAGCCCGCCCCTCAGGGGGCGTGGCTTGCGATCATCGCAAGTACGATCTGCCTATGTAATATAGGCAGATTGTACGTTTTTTTTTAAGTACCTTACAACCATCGCAAGACAAAAGTCTTGCGATGGTTGTAAGGTGTGTGCCCAGCCTAATGCACCAGGAAGATTCACCGGAAATGTTAGGTGAATGTCAGATTCTCTGCTTTATAAATGTACCACTAAGTCAGTGCCGGAACTACAGCCGCAGTGGCCGCTATAGAGCCAGGGGTGTGGGGACCCGGTCAGCAGCAGGATGAAAAGGCTCTGCAGGGGGGGTCCTAGTACTGGCCATTGGCCAATTCCAGCCGGCAGCTACACGGTCTGCATCTCTGTCAGATGCAGACCACATAGCTGCTCCCATCGGCTCCGGCACTCACTAGCTCCTTTCGGTCGGAGTACTGACAGTTCTGAGCTCCGGCCAAAAAGATTAATTAGTAAGGTCTGCATCAGACCTTACTAATCACCACTGGATCACCTGGAAGGGGGGCAGTACAACGTTTTGCTATGGGGTCCTGTGATTTCTAGTTACTTGTGCCCTAAGTGTTTGTAAGTAAACTTTAAAGTGACACTAAACTCAGGAGTTAAATCTTAAAAATACCTTCAAGAGCCTTAACTATTAACAACAATGTATCTTATATGTGTATCACTCGGCTGTAGATCCTCCAATCATCTCTGAATTGGTGCTGACACTGTCCTTCCTTCTGGGATGGGGGGCTACTTTTGTTACCCATGGTCCCTGTGTGTATTGTAAAGTGGTCACCGCTCCAAGCTCACTCCTGTGATGGACTACAATCTCATTACAAATTAGTAAACTAAACATGAGATTGTAGTCCATGATGGTGCTCTGCTGTCCGTGTGATGACTGTCCTCCCTGCCATGGACACAGTGGTGGAGGGGGGACTAGCTGGGCCGCAGTGGCGTAACAACCGGGGGTGCGGGGGGGGTCACTTGCCCCGGGCGCAGGACTAATCACAGATCAGCCCTGCCCAACATTGCTACTGGGAGATCGGCTCTCCCTGTGTAATCAACAAGGCTCCGCTGTCCATGTGACGGCTGTTCCTGCAATTCATTAGAAGCTCCAAGAGTGCAGAGGAGAGCCGTCACATCACATGGACAGCGGAACCCTGTTGATTACACAGGGAGAGCCGATCTCCACGTGTCAATGGTCGGCAGGGCTGATCTTTCATTTTTACAGATTGGTCTTGCGGAGACAAGGGAGGTTCCCAGCCCAGCTGGGCCCTCCCTACCAGTGTCATGGCAGGTGCCCCTGGGTTGGCCTGGCACTTCTTATCTGACATTACAGAATGCCACTTCACTTCTCCCCCTGCTGCTTCAGACATTGAGGGGGATTTATCAAATCTGGAGCAGCTGTGCATGGCAACCAATCATCAGCTTCTCTCTTTCATTTTCAAATCTGAACTGAAGAGAATCTGATTGGTTGCCATGGACAATTGCTCCAGATTTGATAAATCCCCCCCCCCCCCATGTTGATGGGAAAGAAGAACACTGCAAGTAAGCATTGAAAATACTTGTTTGTTTTATTCTGTGCTTTGCCTAAAGTTGGTGACAGGTTCTCTTTGAATGTTCCCTTATTGTACAAGCCGGGAGGATATAAACTAAGTGCTGTGCACCTGACAGGAACTGTATTGTGGACCAGGAAAAGGGCGCCAACCCTCTCATTCACACCCCCCCTGTATTTCCACATCGCTGCACTAACTTTTCCCCATTGATTTAAAATCACAGGAAAGCCGAGCGTTAGAGCTGATTGGCTGCCAAAAATCACCTGACCAGGCTTGCCGCAGGGGCTTCTGGGAATGGTAGTCAGGCGCGGCGCTAGTCTTAGTCATTCTGTAGTTCCTTGGACTACGCTTCCCGGCAGGCGTGGAATGGTCGGGAACAATGAGCCAATCGGCGCCCTCTTCCTGCCCGGAGTCCTCATCTGTGCCTGCAGCAGGTATGGCTGCGACCCTCCTCACCCCCTGTGATGGGGGATCGCGTGTGTGCATGGCGGGAGATACATCGCACAGGGCTGCCCTGGCTGGGGGGGAGAGCCCGCTGCGGGCTGTGTGTTGGCTGGGTGTAGTGGCAGAGCGGTGCTGTGTATGAATGGAACTTGCCATCGTGGTGCCATGTAAACACGCATTGTACACTGCCGCCTGAGAGACACGTTGTGTAGATGGATACAATGTATACATTATACACCGGCTGGGCTCTGAGTCTCCTCTATAATGTATATAAATAGTGGCAGAATGTTACAATGTATCCCTGGTACTTCCCATCATTGTGTTATGTAAACATGAGCAGTACAGAGTCTGATCTATAGAATATATAGACAGATACATTGTATACATCATACACAGACTGGGGTCTGATCTATACAATAGTATATAGACTGTTACATTGCATACATTATACACTGGATGGGACCTCACCTGACCTGTATATAATTAGTAGAATGTTACAATGTATCTCTGGTACGTCCCATCATTGTGTTATGTAAACATGAGCAATACAGAGTTTGATCTATACAAAACTGTATATGGACTAATACATTGTATACATTATACACTGTATGGGGTCTCCTATATAAATAGTGGCAGAATGTTACAATGTATTTCTGGCACTTGCCCATCTTTGTGTGATGTAAACATGATTGGTACAGAGTCTGATCTTTACAATATATAGTATAATATAGACAGATACATTGGATGGAGTCTGATCTTTTCAATATATAGTATATAGAGAGATACATTGTATACATTATACACCTTCTGGGGTCTCATAAATAATGTATATAAATAGTGGCAGAATGTTACAATGTATCTCTGGTACTTCCCCCATCTTTGTGTCATGTAATCATGATGTGTAGTGCTTGTAGATTGTAAGCTCTCACGAGCAGGTTCCTTCTAATCTTTTTGTTTTATACTGTCTCCCCATACGTTGTAATGTGCTCTGCAAACCGTTGGCACTATATAAATTCTGTATAATAATCATCTATTCAGCCCATGATATACATGAGGGATAGCTAGACTTCATCCCTCCGGCTGTGGTGAAACTACAAATCCCATAAGGCATTGCAAGACTCTGACGGTCACAGGCTTGACTTCCAGAGTCAGATGGATGCTGGGAAATGTAGTTTCACCCCAGCCGGATGGCCAATGTTTGACTACTCCTGGCCTGTGTGGGATAGGTACATTACACTGGCTGGACCAAATCTGACCTACGAGGTGTGATCAAAAAATACGGTGAATGTTTAAATGAAAAAATTTAATTATAGTAACAGACACATTGCCATTATTCACCCTCAAAATACTCCCCCGCCCCCCCATCCCGCTTCTAACACACTGATCCCATCGTTCTTGCCACTTTCCAAAGCAGTTCTGGAAGTCCTGTATTTTGAGTGTCTTTAGTTGCTCTCTCATGGCCGCCTCAATGTCCTGAATCGATTTTAAACATTTACCCTTCATGGTCATTTTGACTGGGGGAAGAGCCAGGAGTGGCACGGTGCCGGATCCGATGAATAAGGTGGATGAGGACACAATGATTTTATATGACAGAAATTTCCATACCAGAAGCAATGTGTGACACGGAGCGTTGTCATAATGGAGGATGAAACCGATGTGTCACTCGCCTCATTTTCCTTTGTTAAAATGTTTTGATGGGAACCATAAGAGATGTTCAGACCCTCCGAAATTTCCCTAAAAGTCAATTGTCTGTGTGATCAAATCATTTCACATTCTCTTGGGATTTTGATGTTGAAGGACGTCCCGATCTCTCCTCGTCCCGATCTCTCCTCGTCCCGCTCTCTCCTCGTCCCGCTCTCTCCTCGTCCCGCTCTCTCCTCGTCCCGCTCTCTCCTCGTCCCGCTCTCTCCTCTTCCCGCTCTCTCCTCGTCCCGCTCTCTCCTCGTCCCGCTCTCTCCTCGTCCCGATCTCTCCTCGTCTTCAGCTGATTCACAACCATTACAAAATCTCTCGAACTGTCTTCATGGTCACTGCAGCAGCACCATAAACTCATTTTATTATTTTGTGTGTTTTCTTTAGCACTTTTTTGCTTTTTGAAACAAAATTTAATTGTAATACTTTGTTCGTGATCCATGATTTACAACCAACTGACTGCACTAAACAAGTTGAATCCTGTCACACACACTGTTAATGTTAGATGCACCGCCTCTCGTAGTGCAGAAGCATTCCCCGTATTTTTTCTTTTTGTTACACCTTGTATATATAAATCGTGGCAGAGTATAACAATGATGTATGTATGTCCTGTCCTGTCTGTCTGTCTAGTAGCAGGAGCTTGATCTGTATATACAGTGGGGCAAAAAAGTATTTAGTCAGCCACCAATTGTGCAAGTTCTCCCACTTAAAAAATAACAGCGTATCATTGGTACTTCACCATCATTATGTGATGTATACATTCCATTACATCAGGGGTAGGCAATTCCGGCCCTCCACCTGTGCTTTAACTACAAATCCTATCATGCCTATGGGAGTCATGCCTGTCGCTGTCAGTCTTGCAATTCGTGGTGAGACTTGTAGTTCCACAACAGCTGGAGTGCCGGAGTTGCCCACCCTTGCTCTACACAGTCTGATTTCTAGTAAAGCAAAATACATTATACACATAACACAAGGCTGATGTGTGTATAAATGGCGTTTATGTGCCATTAAAGGAGAACTATGGGGTAAGTGTTTTTCCCCATAGTTCTCCTACCGGTCACTGGAGGACATAAACTAGCATCCTCCCGTGACCCAAACCTCAGTATATCGCGGTATACTGAGACCGCAGCAGTCGGGATGGATCCCGACATTACTGTCGAGATCCACCCAGCTGCGTGATTGACAGCTGACTCTGCATATCTAGAGGCAGAGCCAGCTGTACCCGCCCCCTCCCCCGTCCGTTCCGCCAGTCAGCGCTGGAGGATCGAAGCAGGGAGGGGTGAATCCCTGCAGGGAGCCGTGAGTGATGGTCACGGGTCTCTGCAGGGACATGATCGAGAAGTGAGCGAGCGACGCTATGTGTTCACTCACTTACCGATCTATTGAGCCGGTGTGTGACAGTCTCATTGTCACACATCGGCTCGAACTATGAGAATGAGTGAGTGTAAATCTCTCACCTCATAGTTCTTCTTTTTAATGTATTGGTGAAACGTTTGCCGGATATAAATATACATAACATATCATGAGCTCCCTATAATATTCAGTCCTGTGTGGATTGATATGTTGTATATTGGGGACAATCCAGCATGTGTTATATGAGGTCACAAAGAGGATCCCATTGTCCGTGTATGATGTAAGCGTGTTCTGTTATGTCTGATGTGTCCCATATACTGCAGGGTCCGTGCTGAGTGTTAGCGTATTGCTGTCCCTTCATAATGTGGACACATGTATTCTACAGTTTTATGTATTGAATACATTATATGCAATAGACAGGACTGTCCTCCGTGTACACTGCCCAAGGGAAACGCCCAGGTCCACTTGGAGGTTGTAGTTTGGTTATGACCTGATCACAAATGATGTGACCTCCGTTCCTCCACCTCTTCATGGGCTAAATTGACCATTTACTCCTGGATGGACAGTGATACAGAGAGATGGTCTTTGTATATTGGATACAAGCTCCCAGTTCTTCCAGGAGCCCTCAGAATGTTGGTGGTAATGCATTGTATTATTTTCTTTCAGGAGTTGTTGGGTTGTGTACAAGAAGTACAGGGTGATCTGTACAAAGACGTGAAGATGGAGAACTACCGGAGCCTCAGTTCTCCAGGTAAGAAAAAGGATCATATCTGAAAAAGAGGCTTTCTGATGTTATATAAGATCCTGGAGGACTTTAAGTAAGGCCGGTTAAATGCATGTGACCCTGCACACAAAACGTGTGCTGAGATCTGTATATTTATACACAATGGCGCTGTCCACATCGGCCCCTGTTGATCCATTACATTTTTAAAGAGTCTGTAAACTTCCAGAGTTTACCTAAAGGATAAGTTCACTTTAAAACACAGTGTACTTCTGCACTTTGCCCATTCCTCTGACCTGACCCATGCTCTCTTTTCATATATGCATATTTACCTCAATCTAGCGGCTTCCAGTATTGGTTTATATCCAGCGCTGCAAGTCTTCACTGCCCCTACCGTGTCTACATATTACAGCCCCCTAGACTTTTATGGGGGTCGTCTTCACTTATCTCCAACTTCTGGATACATCCCCATAGCTGTAATGCGCAGGGGCAGCCAGGACAGTGAGTTTTGTGTCACTGGATGTAAACAACAGCAGAACCTGAGGCGTCACATCGAGGTAACTTAACTATGCATCTGTTGAGTGGGTTAGGTTAGGTAGGGGCAAAAACAATAAGTGCACTTTCTCCTAAAGCACACACATCCTTTAACCTTTTGCTAGCCACCCTCCCTCTCCACAGCTCCATACTTACTGAGCTCTTGCTGCCACGCCCCACCTCAGTGTTTACATCCTGCAGCTTGCTTCTTTATACTGATGGCCCCATAGACTATAGTGTGGTCACCTCCTAAGCATCTCCTTTGTCAGGAGAAGTCTATGGTGCTCTACTGAACACACCGGACATTAGAAAGCAGAGGCTGGCTGCAGGATGTAAACACTGCGGTGGGCAAGGGAGCAATGAATTAACTCGCTGTCAGCTGGAAAGGTCCTGTAATGGTGCAGGGGTCAGTGGTAGGAACTAGTGAGCGCTGAAGGGGGTACAAAAGACTGATGCGCTCACGTTCTCCCCATCAGACAAAGTTTTTATTAGAGTTTGGCACCAGGGTTGCTTTAAAGGAGAACTATGAGGTGAGTGCTTTTCACTCACCTCAGTTCTAGCCGACCTGTGACAATGAGACTGTCACAGGTCGGCTCAGTAGATCGGGAAGTGAGCGAACACATACCGGCGTTCGCTCACCTCGATCCTGTCACAGCTCTCTGCCATGACAGGGTACAGCTGGATTCCCCCCTCCCCGCTCCGATCTGCCAGCGCTGACTGGCGGAACGGACGGGGAGGGGGCGGGTACTGCTGGCTCTGCCTCTAGATAGGCAGAGCCAGCTGTCACTCACGCAGCTGAGCGGATCCCAGCACAATTGTCGGGATTTGCTTCAGCTGCGGCGTCTCAGTATACTGAGCCTAGGGTGACGGGAGGACGCTAGTTTGTGTCCTCCCGTTACCCTAAGGAGAACTATGGGGAAAAGTCTTAACCCCATAGTTCTCCTTTTAAATGGCACTGGGGATTGAACATATTTACTGTAATGGCCGTGTCACTTTAATTGTCAGACGGGCACCTGCGCCTACAAATGAAAATGATTGCATTATATGCATTGTGTTCATAATATTACTCATATGTATGTAAAACCGCCCACACCTGTATAGGATTCCAGAAGTTTTGCTGTGCAGTCTATTGCTCTATGCAAGCTTCCAGTATGAAATATAGTGCCCCATGAATGCTGGGGGGAGGGTTAAGGAGGGGTGCAACCCTGAGACTGGCCTAGTATCCAGAATATAGCAACAATCAGGAGTTGGTGAGATGGACTCCCGATCCCTTGATCACATTGACAGCCAACCACAGTGATCACCTCCAGCATTATGAACTCTTAAAGGGCCAGCACAAGCGGGTTGTAAAAGGTTAAATAAGGCCGGTCATTTTGCTTATAACTCCTTGAGCAAGGGAAGCTCTGGCGTATTAGTACTGACACTTTACATCTTGACAGGTGATGAGAATTCAGATTCAGAGATCGTCGTGACAATTGATGATGATGATGATGATGATGATGACGACGAGGATGATGATGAAGATGAAGACTCTGGTGAAAATAATCTGGTGTCTTGTAAACAAGTAAAACCTGCAGGTCAGTAGTACAAATGAGAGACACAGGACTTGTCTGGGCAGCAGACTCTAGGACCACACAGCCTGACACTTTCTTCTGCTAGCCCTGAGTGCTGAGGAACTAGCTTATCCTTATGTCTAGAAGAGTAGGCTCTCCTTTCTTCCTGAGAAGGTCTCTGTCCTTCATTGTCTTACCATTATTATAGCTCGATCCTAAGCATCCTAATAATTTTCTCCCCACTGTTTGGGTGTGGACCGGGCTGCTTGTGTTTTACCTCTCTGCGACACTGGCTCTCTTTTCATCATCCCTGAGGGTCCCCAAATGGGGCAGACCACTTTTCATTCCAATATTACTAGGTGGGTTTGGTGAATTATCACTCAGGCCTATGTTTTGAAGGATTAGGTTCCCTTTCCAGATTAAGCTGACTCTGCTAAGAGTGTTGGGACTTCCAGCTTCAGAGTTAGGTTTCCTAAATCTGTAAGGCCACCACCTGATCATCTGTTCACACTTTAGCAAAGTTTAGTCAGTTGGCTGTTCAGGATGCTAGCTTGGGTTGCAAAGTTCTTCAGATGGCCCTCTATTATAGTTCCTGTAGAGGTTTGTATTTCACGGGCCTGTTAGCCGTTGTTTGGCTGTGTTGCCCTCCCCTCTGTTGAACTGCTTTTTGGACTTCCCATTGGTTCCAGAATTCACTTCTTGTGTCCTGTTATGTACGATGAAGAAAACAAGATTTTTGTCTTACCTGCAAAATCCTTTTATTTTAGCAAATCACAGGGTGCAGGACCCTCCGCTCTGTCTTATGCATTTCTACTCTGCTCGCTACAAAACCGAGACCGGCTGGGAGTCAGAGGGGTGACATTGGGCTCTCTTAGCAGCTTTGATATGCCAGTGTCCAATCACCTGAAGGTAGCCGCATAATCCAATGGTTAAAGAAATGGCTCTCCTATGTCCTATGATGTAGTTCAAGAAATTAAATTTTAGTAAGAGTAAAAGTAAAACAACAAAATCCTGCTTTTCTCCAATTATCTTCCAGGACAGCAACCTGAGAGATGATTGGATCTTCAGTCTACAGGAAACACAATTAGACAAGGCAATGTTTGTTTCTCTGTCCCAACTGGATGGCCTTGAGGTCAGCAGTCACCCTCTGTGGGGCTCTGCTAGGGTACTGGATTCCTGAGCCTTGCCTTCTTGTGGTACAGAGGTTGTTTCCATAGAAGAGGTAGCTGGGTCTCTCCCAAACCTAAGGGTAGACACTCAGCCTATCTTTCCCCCGGGCTATTTGCCCTGTCTGTCTTTTACATAACTAGAGAGCTGATACTGTAGAGTGCACTGTAGTAGGACTTTTTGGCCTGAGTATTGAACAATATAATAATATATAGATGTCTCTTTTTCAGATGATAAATGGACAAAAAGCCAAAACCACAAGAATACTGTAACCGGCTCCAATGTTCCACGTGTGGCCCCAAAGACTAAGCCCAACAACTCTAATCCTGATGGTATGAACCAACTGCTTCACAACAATGGCTTCTGATTATGTTTTCACTGTATTAATCTGTGTGTGTCTGCCATTTACAAAGCTATCATAATTTTCCAAGAAACCGAGGTAAGGTTCTATAGAATATAGGGATGCACTGATACCGTTTTTTTGGGGGGTACGGGTAATGACTCGCCGTCCGGCTTCCTGATTGGCCAGCTTTCCGACCAGCTTTCCGACCAATCGGGAAGCTAGGCGGCGAGTCATTACATGCTGCCCGGCTTCCTGATTGGCCGTGAAGTCGGCTCCATGCTACCTCACCCCGGCCAATCAGTAAGTCGGGCTGCATGTAATGACTCACTGCCCGGCTTCCTAAAACCAGAGGTTCGGGTATCAGGCTAGGCATCGGAGCATTTCGACGAGCACTCGCCCAAATACTCGGTATCGGCACCAATTCTAGTATCGGTGCATCCCTAATAGACTATATAGCCAGTACATATTTCTGTCCAAACCTATATCTTTACTTTCTGTCCCCCCAGGCCATCTGTCTTCTGCTGCCCCCCTCCTAACCCAATTATCTGTGTAGCCAAAAACTGGGTACACATGGAGCGAATTTCGGGCCGATTCTGCAGGAATCTGCCAAAATTTGGTCAGTTGGTGACCCTCTGCCCTTGACAGAAGGCGATCGTGAGATTGACTTTTGCCAAAGGGAATTTTGCTGAATGGAGCTTGCTAGATACAGTTCAGATGGCCTCACATTCGACTCTAGAATACTTTAGTATACAGAGGGGTTCATGGTCGCCCGACTGCAAGGTGGCCAGTTCCTGTGGCTGCAAAACAAGCCCAAATCATCAACTCTCCACCACTGTGCTTGATAGTTGGTATGAGGTGTTTGTGCTGATATGCTGTTTGGTTTTCACCAGACATGGCACTGTGCATCATGACCAAACATCTCCACATTGGTCTCGTCTGTCCAAGGTACATTGTTCCAGCAGTCTTGTGGTTTGTTCAGATGCAACTTTGCAAACCTAAGCTGTGCTGCCATGTTCTTTTTAGAGAGAAGAGGCTTTCTCCTGGCAACCCTTCCAAACAAATCGTACTTGTTCAGTATTTTTTTAAATTTATCATCATGAACTTTTAACAGGCTAACTGAGGCCTGTAGAGCCCGAGATGTACCTCTTGGGTTTTTTGCCACTTCTCTGAGCATTGCACAGGCTGACCTTGGGGTGAATTTGCTGGAACATCAACTCCTGGGAAGATTGCCAACTGTCTTGAATGTGTCTTGACTCCTGGGAAGATGATCCCAGGTTGATCACACTTGCTGATGATCAATTAATCAGTGGCATTTGGCAGCACCTGGCTGCTACCTGGCCTCTTAATTCCCATGGAAGCAGTAAGGGTGTACTTAGTTTTTCACGCATAACTTCTTCATTTTGGCTTTGTTTGTAAAATAAATAATGACACAGTGTAATATGTCATCTAAGGTTGTATTTACCTAATTTTAAGACCTGCTAAGGACCAGATGGTTTTTATTATATCCTGAAGAGGGTGTACTTTGTCTTTCACACAACTGTAGCTCATTATAACATTACAGGGGGACTTGGATAAAATAGGGCAGTGGGCAACTGTATGGCCGATGAGGTTCAATGTTGATAAATGTAAATTTATGCACTTTGAGGTTAAAAATAGGCAAGCAGATTACACATTAATGGGAACTCCACTAGGGAAGTCACAAATGGAAAAAGATTTGGGGGTCATAGTAGACCACAGGTTGAATAATAGATTGCAATGCCAGGCCGCGCTAAACGAAGCGAGCAGAGTTCTGTCCTGTATTAAAAAGAGAATGTACTGCAGAGACAAGGCAATCATTTTGCCACTTTATAGATCGCTGGTTCGGCCTCATCTGGAGTACGCGGTCCAGTTTTGGTCCCCAATCCACAGAAAGGATGTCCGTGAACTGGAGGGAGTCCAGAGGAGGGCAACTAAACTAATAAGGGGCTGGAGGACCAAAGCTATGAGACGAGGCTACTAAATTTAAACATGTTCGCTGGAGGTGCGGAGATTAAGGTGGATATGATTTTCTTGTACAAGATGTTCAATGGAAATAGCAACATCAGCAATAAACTCTTTACGGTAAACTCCATAACAAAGACGAGGACACCACCTAAAACTGGTGGAGAAAAAATTTAATCACAAGGGGCGTAGGGGCTTCTTCACAGTAAGAGCGGTCAGGGTATGGAACTCACTGCCACAAGCAGTGATTTTAGCTAAGCGTGTTGAATCGTTCAAAAAGCATTTGAACAATTTCCTCAGAGACCGCAACGTATAGGGGTAAAGGTTAAGAAGAAGACGACATATGGACTCATCCACTCTCATACACATGTAGATTCACATGCATACACGCTATAGGTTGGACTTGATGGACCCGTGTCTTTTGTCAACCTTAAATACTATGTAAAATGATGTATACTCCTCAATTTAGTGGTTGAGTTACCCATCACAAGGTTTCCTTTTCTGTCTTTCCAGACTGGATCATGGAAGACGTCATCACCCCAGTACAGACCAGCTGCGGTCCTTCAGGCGAGACCAAAGTAAATGTCTGGTGCGTAAAGAGGGTCATGGTTAACCAACCTACGCAGGGCGAAAGCAGCGGCTCGGGATCTCCTCACCAGACCGTACCCCAGGAAACCAAACCTTCCGTGCCGAAGAAATCTGATAATCAAGTGGTAGAGACCTCTACTGCCAACGACAAAAAGCCCGTTATGGAGATTTTAAATCCGCCCACAGGCCAGGAACCCCGGCTCAGTGTCTCGGGGAACCACCAAGCTATCCACAAGCAGGAGCTGTTTGTTTGCTCTGATTGTGGAGAATGTTTTCGGGGAAAAACCAACCTGGATGAGCACGCCATGATGAATCACAAGGAGGAGGAGAAGCTGAAGATGTGTTCCATTTGTGGACAGTTTTTTAATTCACAGTCCACACTGGAGGTTCATATGAAAATACACAACGTTGAAGCTTTTTGGGAGTGCGTTGAGTGCGGCAAATCGTTTGGCACCAAGTCTCGCTTGGACCGCCATAAAACCATTCACGTGAAAGACCAGCCCATTCCTTGTCCGCAGTGCGACAGAACATTTAAGAAGCGGGAAAACTACGAGATGCACCTTCGCATGCACGCTGGGGAGGTCTTGTACCCCTGCACCGAGTGCGAGAAATTGTTTACCGTCAAGGCTACCTGCGACAGGCACATCAGGAGCCACAGCATGGAGAGGCCCCACGTGTGCCGCCAGTGCGGCAAGTGCTTCCTGTACAACGGCTGTCTGATTCGACACCTCCGCACTCATACCGGAGAACGCCCCTTTCCCTGCCCCGAGTGCGGCAAGTGCTTTCGCCAAACGTCGGCGCTCACCCGACACCTGAAAACGCACTCTGGGGAAAAACCATACGACTGCCCGGAATGCGGCAAGTGTTTCGCCAATGAATTCGATGTCGTACGGCACAGGGAAACGCATCGCAACGAAGGGGAGATCGTACAGTGTGTGACAAACGATGACATGCCAACATACATTATCCTGTGATGAATCAGGGAACTTGTGTGTAGCAGGTTGTAAATCAGTGGTCCCCAACCAACTGCTTGTGACCCTCAGCTACTTTTTGAAGTTGCTCGCTATTGCCTCTCAGCAGAGGTTCAGTGTCTGTATATACCTAATACAGAGAGGAGCCAATCGGCTCATTGCAGGTTAGGGGCAAACAGGTATGTCTGATCTATTCAGGGGGACTCATTGTTCATCACTGCAGCTTTGTCAGATAGTGTCCCTGCTGGGTGCTGTGGTTCTTCCTGCCCCACCCAGGAGTGTTGTAGAGCAGCGGCACCCACAACTCTACAAGAGAGCGAAGATTTAACACACTGCTTGCCGGATAGGTGAGAATAAGTTGCTTCTTTTACAGGATGATGCCGGTTTATTTTTCTTTGCTGACGGGTCACTTTAAACTGTATCTAAACCCAAAACAAAAATGGGATATATTGCAGCCTAGCAGTCCTTGTATGTGATTTGCTGCTGCATTCCAAGTTTCTTTTCCTTTATGTTCACCTGTTGATCCTGCCAGTAACGCACTTCCTGTCCTAGAGTGACAACGCTCACTGACTTTACTATATCTACTGAGACGTAGTCACCATAGGCTACATTCCTGACTTGGACAACAAACAACTTCCCCTTTCCTCATCGCTATTGCATAGGGAGGAGGGGTTGTGTAGTCCACAGAAGAAGTGAAAACTCATGCAGCCACCACATCTAAGGACTGGCAAGCTGCAATGTATTACATTTTTGCTCTTTGGTTTGGATATGCTTTAAAGGAGAACTCATGCTATGTTTTTTAAAGCTTTTAAAATGACCAGTTTCAGTAGAACAATTATGGAAAAAAAAAACACTTATTGCTCGTTCACCGTGTAGTGTATTTTCTTGAATTGCCAGCACGGGGATAAACGTTTCCTAAAAATCAACTATCAGCTGAATGGGCCCTTTATACACTTCACACTACACATCTAGATCACGAATGCGGCAAATTGCAGTAAATGCGCCCATATTCTGTGGATATATTCTGTGGATCTGCTCCTACTACCTATGGGGGGCTAGCAGTGTTCTAGCAGACAGGAACTTGCAAAAAGTCACAAACGTAGGAGCTGTGCATGGCCATTCCTCCACAGATAGTTATAGCTAGAATGACATGAAGACTGGAGGTAGGGCCCGCTCGCATCATGGAGGACAAAAATACCTTTGATGCAGTTTCATCAAAACACAAGTTCCATAGTAGGGCTGCAGCTAACGATTATTTTCATAATCGATTAGTTGCCCGATTATAATTTTTTCCGATTAATCGATTGCATTAAAAAAAAAACTCTTTCCCTCCCAACTAATCGATATTGAGAATAGTTGGCAACTATTATCGATTTTATTATTGATTAGTTGTTGCAGCCCTACTACATAGAATTAATTGGTAATTAATTGGTAACAAATGCAACGTGGATACCATGCACTTCCACCTAATGTATACAATGCAAAACCTCCTAATACCCTAAAAGCCATGGTCACATGACCAGTCAAGTTGTCTTCTTCCCATTTGTTAGCTGATGATTTGTGCAGAGCAGGAGAAGAAAAAACATCCACATTCAAATCAGCGATGCCTGCAACTACATGTCCCATAATGCATTGCATCTCAAGAAGCGAGGGGCACATAACTATGTTTTTAAGCATATGAAATGGCCGAAAGAAGCAAGAGGACTAATATCTCCAGCCGCTAGCTGCAAGGGTTACATCAATCTGTCTCTGATGTAGTCTGGGGCACTACATGGGGGAGCTGAAACGACAGCTGCAGGGACAGGAAACAGCTGTGCGCGCGGTCTGTGTTGCACAGCCATTGGATGAAAGCCTAGGACAGTGAGGGATTTTTTTTTTTATGGAATTGAAATCTATCTGGAAGTAATGTCAGACTGAGAAGATGAAGGGCAGCAGTGAGGAACACGTCGGCGTATCTGAGTTAAGTATTACAGTTGGAGTAAAATGGGGTATACAGGTTCTATTTTTTTTTTTCGTTCAACCCGCAGGCTGAATGCAAAGGATAGAACATATTTGTCCATCAACACTTAAGTGTTGACAGATGAATCCCCTGTCGGCGGGCGCTGTCAGAATACCGGAATGGATCTTGCAGCTGATTGGTTGTTAGCTCTGTTCAGCTGAGAATTTTCCATCCAGCTTCTTTGATCAGCTGATCGAGGGATGCCGGGCAGGAGGGTGCCGACAGCGGCATCCACAGTACAAAATTTGAACGATGTGTACCCCACTTTAGGCATTATCCACAATAGTGTGCACGGGCCCTCACTGGCATCTCTTCTGCTAAGCCTGGAGCCACTAAGGGCACTGCTTGGAGACAGGGGAAGGTCTCTGCAATGGGAAGAATGTTCAAACTGTCTTCTGAGAGCAGCCACACACTGCTTCCTCAGCAGCCACTAGGATGTATACAGATCTCAGGACCCTCAAGTACTCGATGGGGTGTATTAATAAACTCGCACAGCTATTCTTCCACAGAAACTGCCTGTACATTCGTTCTTTGTGAATTAACCAGCGGATGTGAGAATGGGGCACATTCGAATGTTCTCAGGCTGTTTCCTCTTCTGGCCAAATGTTCTCGCCTAAATACTCGGTATCGGCACCGTTACTAGTATCGGTATCAGTGCATCTCTAATAAATAGCCTCCTGAGTGAAGGAGGCGCTGAGTTTGGATGCAAATGTAAGTATTACTATTCTTTTCCCAGGCCACAGAGACAAAGCCAGTGAAAGTATATGAACAGGAAGTGCAGTGACCCTTTACATCAGAAAGGACAGTGAGCCAAAATAAATGTCTAGCAACCAAATGGGATTTTTAAATAAAAACATCCGCAGGTTTAGAATCGGAACATTTTTGTGTATTTCTGAAAAATACTTTAAAATCTTTTACCCTGTGGGAAATTTAGGTCATTAAACTTTTAACGAACATGAAGAAAATCTCCCCATTTCCTTTTTAGTGTTTTGAAGAAACAATTTATAGAACTGGACAAATATCCCAACATGGTGGAAAATCACTATCATAATAGTAACTAATAAATTATATTCAGGAAAAAGTGGTGCTGATTTCCTGCTGTGCGCTGTGGTGGAGGGTAAACCGCTATAAGAAAACATTGCAAATAGCTACAGTGTAAAGAATCAGCCAACGAGACACACACAAATATATCATTAACAATGGTTAGTCTATGCACCCAGATCCGAATGTTAGCTCTCTGTAATGCCCTGCACGGGAATTCTGACATTTGGGGTGTCAGTCTTACACTAGGCGGTTTATATACAAAAAAAATACATTTGTCCAGCAACAATGCATGTATGTTTGTTCTGTGCGAGTGAACCAGCTGTTGTGAGAATGAGGCAAAAACAAAAGTTCTTATTGTAATTTCTCTATTGATTGAATGTTCTTCAGTAGGTTCAAAGTAGAAAGAATAGGTTACCAGCACTCAGATTTAAATAAGTCCTTTTTATTGGACATACGTGTCACAATAGTCAAGGCTGTTTGACTATTGTGACACGTATGTCCAATAAAAAGGACTTATTTAAATCTATCTGAGTGCTGGTAACCTATTCTTTCTACTTTGTGCATTACACGGTGCCATCCGTGGGAGTTACTGCAAGCACCTCATCTCTACTGGCCGGGACTGCTGAAAGGTGTGCGGAGAGCACCCTCACCAATTACAACTTCAGTAGGTTCATTCATACAGAACAGAGGGAATGGGGAAATATCACATTATGACCACTAGATGGAACTGAGGATCATAGGAAATAAATACATGTTACTAAGGAGATACAATATTTTATTTCAAGAGAATACTGGAGGAAATGACCATATAAATGTAACCATTGGTACCACAGTGTTAGCAATGGTTACATTTATATGCTCATTCTCTGCAGTGTTCTCTTAAATTATATCTCATTACTAACATGTATTTCTTTCCTCAGCTCCATCTACTGCTCATAATGTGGTATTTTCCCCATTCACTTTGTTCTGTATGAACGAACCTATTGGAGAACATTCAACCAGAAGAAAGATTACACTAAGAACATTTGTTTTTGCGCCAATCTTACAACAGCTGGTTAACTTGCACAGTATAAATGTTTCTGTAGTTTCGCTGGACGAATAAGCTATGCATATTTTCTTATAAAAGGACTCTTTGGATCAGATGACCTCACCAGTGTGCTCATATTCCTTCATTACGTAGTTAGCATGAAGGGGGTAAACTGTATCACTGTATCATAATGCTGGCTGCAAAGAATCATGGATCTTTCAGCTGGTGAAATGGTTTCCGTATATGTATTCAAGCTGAGTGTTATCTATGCTTAAAGCTGAACTCTAGACTAACTGCTAAAGGAACGGATCAACTGAAACAAGAAATCTGTGACCTGCTGCGTATGTTTACCAGCGTGCTGGAAATGTGCAGTTGAGTTTCCTCGGATGAAATATGGAGCCTACATACTAATGATGTGAAATAAGTTTATTGATTTTATCCTGATAGGAGCTCTCCCACTATCTATGGGGTTCATATAGAACACGTTTTAAAGAAGGATTTTCTTGAGTGCCTTTTACCCTGTTTACTGGGATTAAAGAGACTCTGTCAGGTCTGCAGGCAAATGAAAACGCCAGTTCCCTGCAATGGAAGACATAGTATAGTTACCTATCCACTGGCCTGTGCCTCGTACCTCTTCTTAGTTCCAGTACAGAAGCCACTTTCAGTATCTTTGTCATTTGGCACTTCCAGTAGTGTTGTGTAATTCTTTCCTCTAACCCCTCACTGCTAGGTCCTGTAGTGATGTGCATGTCAGAGGAAAGAACCACAGCATGCAGCAGGGGATTCGGGCTTCTGACTCTGCTGGTAGTGTTGGATAACTGTAACCCCCGTCATGTGCTGTGGCTCCTTCCTCTGACCCCTATGTCCTGTAACGATGTAAGGGTCAGAGGAAAGAACCACAGCATGTAGCAGGGGATTCAGGCATTTGACCCAACAGGTAGTTTTGGATACCTGTGACCGCTGTCATGTGCTTTGGCTCCTTTCTTTGACCTCTATGTCCTTTAGCGATTGTAAGGGTCAAAGGAAGTAACTACAATGCATGACAGGGGAGTCCTGCATCATAACACTATTGGAAGTGTTGAATGCCTACGTCTCTCGCCATCCGATGTGGTTCCTTCCTCCAACCCCTATGTCCTGCAGCAATACAAGGGCCAGAGGAAGGAACTACAATGCGTGGCTGGGGATTGAGGCATCCAAGACTTCTGGAAGTGTCAGGTGACTGATAGAGATTGCAGT